TTTACTATCTAACGAGACCATTGATCCATAAAATGAAAGCAATAAACAATGTACTGCAGTCAGTCAGTAGCTGAACTGGGTTCCACACAGTCACAGAAACAAAACAAAACCAAAAAAAGCCACAAAACGCAAAATAAACAGCAAAAACAGACAGACCACAGCGTAACACTCAAAACGGAAGCGTGGCACTCAAATTGGAAGTTCTGAAACCAGAATACAAACTTCTGGGTTTGCAGTGTTTGGGTTCTAAGTTGTTTGAGTACCAAGGCGTTTGAGAACCAAGGTACCACTGTATTTTTGTGATATAGCGGTATATAAATATTTTTATGAATGAATGTGATGCCTGCCTGTGGGGACAGGAGGCAGGGAGACAATACCAAACACCCAGAACCAAGTGGTCTTTGATATTGCAACTTCACCCTAAGAACCCAAGGAAGGGACACTTGTCATGTGTTGCCTCTTGAGAGTATTGCATTCAAACTAGAGTGGCACCTTGGTTTGCGAACAGTCTGGTTTGCATACGTTTTGGATTACAAACACGTCAAACCCGGAAGTGCGTGTCCCGGTTTATGAACTTTTTTTGGGTTACAACCCTTTTTTTTTGGATTACAAACGAATTTTTTTTGGAGGCCCCGTTGGCGAAAGTGTACCTTGGGTTACAACCTGTTTTGGTTTACAAACAGACCTCCAGAACAGATTATGGTTGTAAACCAAGGTACCGCTGTAATGAGGAAACCAGACAAGAGTGTTGGTCCCGGACTTTGCAGTCCAGCACTGAAAATCAATAAGGATGGAAAACAAAAATCATTACATGCTCAGCCACTTGTCTTTCCCAGTCCAGGTGTTGAGGCCCTTTCAGTTGGAGTTGTCAGGATCAAACCCCGGTCCATGGCCATGAAAAGCAGCTCCTCTATTGTTGAGCCATTGGCCTGTCCCTAAGTGTCAACCGACAATAGTAGTGCAAAGACTGGGGGGATTTGTGGTGATTTTTATTCCCAAAGAACACTCCCTGCTGCCTTGGGAACTCTTTGGAGTTGAAGAGTGAGGAATAGGTGTAGGTACAAATAAATCAATGACCTACTTTGGAGGGTGGAATAATTCGATAAGAGAATAGATTCAGGTAGGTAGCCATGTTGGTCTGACACAGTCAAAATAAATAAAAAAATTGTCCAGTAGCACCTTAGAAACCAACTAAGTATGTTCTGGGTATAAGCATGCACACGAAAGCTTATACCCAGAACATACTTAGCTGGTCTCTAAGGTGCTCCTGGAAAAATTTTATTTATTTATTTAGATAAGAGAATGTTACTTGCTTGGAGCCTTTGAAATAAGGCACTCACAATGGCACCATCAGGGCAGGACTTTGAGGCAAAGGTAGGACTTACCATATATTGAAGTAGGTGGAGTATTGCATACAACCATATAAAGAGCACAGTTCCCATAAGACCCTGAAGTCCAAAGTCTAAAATTAGCAAAATGCACCGTTCATTATATATGAACGAAGAGCAATTCAGAAAGGTTGTCTGTGGCATAAGTGTCCATGCCGCCATCAGAACCGAAGAAGTGTCACGGTCCGGTCTACGGGCGATCGAAGTCCTGGCTAAGGATGTTGGGACCGGGGGCAAGATGGCGGGGTGGGAGCAGGAAACGAGAAGCCAGGGGTCCGAGGGTCAGGAAGCAAGGAGTCATGAAGTCAAGGGTCCAAAGGTCGAGAAGCCAAGGAGTCATGAAGTCAAGGATCCGAGGGTCGAGGAGCAAGGAGTCAAGAAGCCGAGGTCCGAGGATCAGGAAGCAATAAGCCAAACGCAGCAAGGCAGGAAACGTGTGGCTGTGGCAAAGAGCCGAAGGGAAATGCTGACCTTATATCCCTTACCGGCTCTTGCCACCAGGTGCAGTGAGTTACCAAGCGGCCTCACCTGTGCGGCCGCGCCTTGCCTCTCCAGAACAAACTTAGGAAGGCCCCAGTCCTGCGAAGCCCTACTGGTCACAGGGCCTTGCTCCTGCATGCACTCCTGACATGAAGAGCCTGCTGAATCAGGCCAACGGCCCATCCAATCCAGCATCCTGTTCTCGCAGTGGCCAACTAGATGCTGGTGGAAAACCAGCAAGCAAGACCTGAGCACAAGAGCATCTCTTTCCCGTCCTGTGGTTTCCATTAACGGGGGTTCAGGAGCATCGCTGCCTACAGTTGTGGAGTCAGAGCGTAGTTCTCATGTCTAGTAGCCCTCGATAGCCCTCTCTTCCGTGAAACCCAACTCCATGCAATGGGAATCTGCAGACTGACCAGACCAATTGAGATAGTATGGGTAAGTGTGTATACCAGTGATGTCCAACCGGTCGACTGTGATCGACAGGTAGATCACCTGGAGATCGCAGTTGATCATGGTCGATCGCTGGACGCTGTTAGACCACGTGATTTTCTCTGCCCACGGCCCCCTCGCTCTGTCCCTCTGTCGTGTCAACAACTGGCCTCCCCCCCAAAAACCCCCACACATGCTCCTCCTCCCTCCAATGACAATGAGTAGATCACTGGCAGGTTTTTTTAATACTGGTAGTAGATCCCAGTCTCTTGGGAGTTGGACGTGCCTGGTGTATACCATCGCATTCAGTGTAGTTGCCCATAATGTTTGAAGCAGGCCCGAGCCGATAGGTTGTTATAGTTGTGAAGAGCTTGGCTTCCGACTTGATGTGGTCTCCTTCCAGATCCAGTTTTGAGTCTTTTCAAATGCAAACAAGGAGAATATACAGAATGTCCTTTTGACAAGTGTTCCCCCAGGTAGTTCAGTTATCCAGGTAACTGTCAGATATGTTTGCACTCCTTCCTCTTGTGTTGAGATTTGTCTGGGCTGCTCTTGTTAGCTAAAGTCAGAGGATATCTTCTGTAATGCAGAAAAGAAAATAACAATTTTTTGCGGGGTGAGGGTATATTGGGAATTCCAAATAAAACCCACATGATCTATTTGTTAAAAAATTATTGGGCTGTATTCCATGTTGGTCCTACTCAGAGTAGGCTCATTGAAAATTATTATTTATTATATTTGTATACTGCCCTTCATCTGAGTAATGGGCACGACTCATTTAGCTACATTAATTTCAACGTGTCCACTGTATAGGGAAGTTTTTACTGTTTGATGTTTTACTGTATTTTAATTTGTTGGAAGCTGCCCAGAGTGGCTGGGGTAGCCACCCAGTCAGATGGGTGGCATATAAATAATAAATTGATTATTATTATTGTTGTTGTTGTTATTGTTATTACTCCGAGAGTAACTTGGTTGGATACAACTCATTGGAATTTTGCAGAATATATTGGCTGAAATCTATAGACATAGAATAAGTTAGGATGAAAGGAGTAACATTCTTTCCTGCTGGGCTCCCGATCTTGATATTTGGCTTTTCTCGCTTGTTTTAATTTGCTGCTGGGCTGTGATAAGGAGTGCAGAATACCATATGAATAAGCAAACTCCCAAGAGTTTACTGTCCAGCAGAGCCTGCGCCCATAAAGCCTGCAAGTAGCTAATTACCTTTTGGAGGAGGGGAAATGACACTCTCTTGAAAAATTATTGACATAATGCTACACTTCAAAGTGAAAACCCCTTATTTTTGCAACTGTCTTTATGGCTGTGTAGCCCCTGCTAAATGAGTGTGAATTGCTGTTACGCAGTGTTGCAGTGCTGTCTTATCCTGCATCAAAGTACTTGACTGCTACCAGCGTGTGTGGGTAGAGTAGACAATCAGCCATTAATTGTTTTGCTCATCAGATACTCAACTTGCCTGTCAGAGATGTCAGCCTTTGACAAGTCAACCGGATCGATCACATGGCGTGTATTATTCTTCATTGTACGGGTGCCTCACTCCCCACAAATTGCAGAAACTCTGAGCTCAGCAGAGCTTGATTTAGTTGCCAAGATGTATCACTGAAACACGTGTGAAGGAATAGCAGGACACAGTTCCTCTGAGCACGTGCCAAATTCCATTCCTTTGTCGTTGAGCAACCGCAGCTAGATGTGGGATATGGCACTTAGGGGAGGAGTGCCCACCCCCACCCCCCCGCGGAAAGGAACCATTGCAGAAATTGTTCTTCCCTCCCTCTTCCTTCTTCTGAGGCAGATTTAATCTTATCAGTGACTAAGTAGACTGAACAAATGGTGGACGAAACCTGCTGAGCTTCATTCCATTCCGTTTACAGAAGCTCTTACTTTCCTGAGTGCTTGAGTTTGTCGCTAATCGGTAGGCTTCTTTGGAGCCCATTTGCTCTCAAAAGCAAGAGAGATGTATGAAATTAAAATAATTGCAGCAAGTTAAGAAGGATCAGTTCCACCTCTTGAGACTTTTCTCGGGGCTGCCTAACTGCGGGAACTTGGGGAAGCTCTCACTCAACGCTGCTGAGTACAGATAATTTTCTTTGCCCGCCCACCCAAGCTGTCACGGTCCTTGAATGATGGTCTATCACAGCACAGCTTGGGGTTGAAAAAATGGGCTCTGAACACTCTGAAGGGGGCTTTGCGGAGAACCTGATAACCGGTCCTTGAGTTATGGAGCACTTAGCAGGCTTTCCGTCTCCCCCCCCCACAACCCACACCTCTTCCCCTGTCCTTTTCATTACTGCTAGATGCAAAAAGTTTTGAAGCCAGACGCAGTGCAAAGCTTATCCCACCTGTTTCCATCTACAGGAGAAGTCTCAGTGGGCTAGAAGGGAAGTGGCACGGTCTCAGGCCCAGTGAAGACCTTGCTTTTTGTTGTTATTGCTCCCAGTCTATTCCACATCTGCATGAGCGGGGCTTACCGTATTTTTCGCTCTATAAGACTCACCAGACCATAAGACACACCTAGTTTTTGAAGGAGGAAAACAAGAAAAAATAATATTCTGAATCTCAGAAGCCAGAACAGCAAGAGGGATGGCTGCGCAGCAATCCCGCTTGCTGTTCTGGCTTCTGGGATAGCTGCGCAGCCTGTATTCACTCCATAAGACGTACACACATTTCCCCTTACTTTTTGGGAGGGAAAAAGTGAGTCTTATAGAGCAAAAAATATGGTAGGTTGCACAGACAGCATGAATGTGTGTGTGTGTGTGTGTGTGTGTGTGTGTGTGTGTGTGTGTGTAGGGGGGGGGGAGAGAGAGAGAGAGAGAGAGATACAACATGGGTAGGCAAACTAAGGCCTGGGGGCCAGATCCAGCCCAATCGCCTTCTCAATCCGGTCCGTGGACGGTCCGGGAATCACCATGTTTTTACATGAGTAGAATGTGTCCTTTTATTTAAAATGCATCTCTGGGTTATTTGTGGAGCCTGTCTGGTGTTTTTTACATGAGTAGAACGTGTGCTTTTATTTGTGGGGCATAGGAGATCGTTCATATTTTTTTCCAAAATATAGTCCGCCCCCCCTACAAGGTCTGAGGAACAGTGGACTGGCCCCCTGCTGAAAAAGTTTGCTGACCCCTGAGCTACAACAAAGCCCAGGCAGCCTGAAAGTTGTGCATGGGATGCTACGATGAAGTCCACTTGCACTTCTCAGGTACCTTCTCTCTTCAAATTTCTGCCATGGAGACGCCTGAGTTCCTGTAGTTTGCATCTGCTGTGTCCTAAAGGCTTAACAAGAGGCATCAGAGACCCACAACAGATCACCTCTGTATTCTGTGTTTTGCAAATAGCTGCCTCTCCCCTCTCCATTTTGGATCAAGCCCATCACGTGGGTGGGTGTAACTATCTGGCTTCTCAGAGCCGTCTTTCCTGCAGTTGGTGTTTGCTGCAGCTGCTCCTTCCCTTGGGTGGAATTTTGTGCTCCTTCCTTCGTAGTAATGTGAGTCGCTTGCAGCGCTGTGTTTACCTTGCTCTGCACACCTGCTTGTTTCCTTTACAGAGTTGACATCTAACTCCAGATACATAGATGTGGCACATTGGCACCAATGGAAGGAAGCAGAAAGCAACAGAGCACACATGTTTGACAACGATTTCATTTGGGCGGGGAAGAGAGACAGCACTATGTAGCCCTTGAAGTTCCTATCAGAATTTAATAACTACTCTGATTATGCAACACTAGATCTATAAAGTAGTCCCAAGGGGAAACGTCAGTGCTTGCCAGTGGTTACCATGGTTACATCCAGTTCTTAACAAAGGAGGAACAAGTGTGAATTCAATTATTCTTATTTCAAATACTGTGCAGCAGCACTTATCCAAATGGCCTGTAGGACATAAAAACACATTTGGATAATTAGGAGTTCATATAATCAAAGGCTGGAGATCGTTTACATTAGCAGTATGTGGTGGCAGTGGTAGCAGCAATGTAATAACCTGGCAGAAAGATGAAATTTAAAATAGCTAAGGCTCTGCTAAGACACAGACACATTTTATTTTATTCAAAACAATTTTGGTCGCTCAAAATCTCTTAAGCGGTGTAAAGGTAAAGGTACCGCTGACCGTTAGGTCCAGTTGCAGCACTCAGACCGTTAGGTCTGGGGTTGCAGCACTCATCCCACTCTATAGGCCGAGGGAGTCGGTGTTTGTCCTCAGACAGTTTTTCCGGGTCATGTGGCCAGCATGACTAAGCCGCTTCTGGCGAACCAGAGCAGCACAAGGAAATGCTGTTTACCTTCCCGCCGGAGTGGTACCTATTTATCTACTTGTGGTATCTATTTATCTTTGACGTGCTTTCGAACTGCTAGGTTGGCAGGAGCTGGGCAGGAGCAGGGACCTTAAAGTGGTATACAACAGCTAAAGAAGAAGAAAAAAAATCACAAAAATATGCAATAAAACCATCAGGACAGGCTACTAAAAACTGCAGTAAAAACTACAGCAGTACCATAAACCATTATCACAAAGGAAAAAGGGCATGGTCCAACTTTAATAATCAGGAGGAACCTGAGAAAAAGGTGTGTGTTCAAATGACACCAGAAACTAGTAGCCTGAATGGTTTTTCCCATACAGCACTGAGGGAAAACATTCCAGAGAACATGGGCATTGGCAGAAAATGCCCTTTACAGGTCACAGCCACATGATGGCCTATTAACACACGTTGCTACTTACAACAACATCCCTGATGATCTCAGCCATCTACCAGGTCTATACAGGGGCAGACAGTTCTTCAGCTAACCAGGTCCTGTGCTAATATGTAAATAACATATAAGCTATATATAAATAAAAAGACCTTGTACGTAATCCCGGTCAGAGGCACATCCGTACATTTTGTCCTGCAGATAGTTCAGAGGCCTGGGTCCCAGGGCCTGCTTCAGTTTGCTGTCTCGTGCAGCTGCACCACATAGGCTAATAAGTGTGTCCCGGGGTTCCTTAAAAGTCTGCAGGCAAGCTTTTGCAGCCTCTTGAGGTCCTGGAGCTCTTGTCTCAGGTGCTCTGCTGTTTCATCTCTATCCCCCCCCCCCAACATTGCTATTCAAAAGCAACCACATGGAGTATTCATGCACTGCCAGTCATGCTGCCCTAAATCCGCCTCTGTTTGAAGGGCTAGACTAGAGGAAGTTCCTGTTGTCAACAGAGCTCTGTCATCTATGCTTCCTGGCTGTGGTTCCCAAGCTAAAGTCTTGTCTGTTTGGTTTGAGAGCTGAAGCTGCTTGTGACGGTTGCAACTGGTTATGCTGGCAGAAGCTGCTGCTGCTGCTGCAGAAATAGTCATCGCTCTGGTGGCGTCTTAAATCTCAACCATTGTGGTGTTACAATATCTACCTTGGCAGAGAACTTGTGGAAGGTGGCAAGTACTGTACTCCGTTTTCTCAAGGGCTGCCATCTTGAAGTTTCTGGATCACGGCTTCTCTCTTGCAAGCTTTGAAGTGGGATCTGTTGCAGCTCTTTCGAAGGGCATGTACCTTTTCCCTTTCTCCTGCAGAGGCCTGCCCAGTGGGTGAGCTACCGAAAGGATCTGGAATCAGTCAAAACTTAGGGGTCCAGCTGTGTGTGTGTGTGTGTGTCCAAGTCCAAATGTGTGACAAACGGAGGCGGGCTGATATTTATCCCTTGTTTGCAGCTTATTTGGACAACTTTTAATGGGCAAAACTGCCTCTAAGAGCTAACAGCAAAGAAAACTGATGGGAAGCAGGAAGAGAAAGCAAAAGAAAGGCAGAGTGAAGAGTATGAGTAAAGAGAAAAAGGCGGATGGGAGAGTCAGATAGGTCAGGAAACTGGTTCTGCTCTTGCCTGGCATTCAGGTAATCTTTCTGAACTTCCCAGGATGTGGCTGTGGAATCTGTCATCAGATCTGACGGTCCAAACCTCCAGAATGAATTTTAATCCTGTCCGCTTGGGATTTTTGATGTGCTTGATAAACATCCATGCAACTGTTCAGGTTATGCTTGAGATCCGAAAGTTGCGAACCTCTTTGAACTATCTGCATATAATTCAAAATTGCTGGGACAAGGGGAGGAGGATGATGTATGCAGGTCTATTTTCTTTTGTTAATTGAGGCAAAGGCTCAGAAATCATTAACCTGGAATTGAACCAGTTGACTCAGTTTCAATGAACTATTCAGCGTAAGCTGCAAGAATCTGATGATAATAGATAATAGTTGACCTGGTCGCTTTTCACGTGTGTATTCTGCCTCCTGATGCTGGTTGGAATAGCAGATGGGAGGAGACAGGGCCAAAAATGCCCACAGCTGGCGGATAAGGCTTTCAGGAATTCATTTAGAATGGCAAGTATATGTGATTAGCAACAGGTGGCACTTGTGGGGAGGTGGGATGGGCAGCATAAGAAGTAGGGGAAGCAAGTTGAGCCTGAACACATGTGGAGCTTGGATAATTCACTGTTTGGGAGCTTTCTTTTGCATATCCTGCGAACGTGTTTGAGGTCGTCAGGATGGTATCAATCTCATGTAGAAGAGGAGCTAAAGAGAAAGCAGGGCCTTGAAGACAGGTGAGGGCAGCAGAGGATGTTGAAGCCCAGGTTCTAGTTCCACCCTAAGCTAGAACTCTTGCCAGATGTGGTTGTTTCTGCTTTCATTGAGCCTCTATTTAGATAAGAAGTAGGTGCTGGCCATACCTTCATTGTCGAAGCTTGTGCAGCCAGTGAAGAAGCTTTACAGGTGAAAACATGCCCCCTCTTATAGCAATGAGTGGTTTCCAAACTTTTGGGGACCACTGCTCCCTTGATTCCATAAACTTATTCCCAGTGCCCCCACCCTTCCCTATAAAAAGCATTATTCAGGATAGCAGTTTGCATGACCCACTAAGGAAAATAACAACACAATAAAATCCAAAACACTAACAATTAATTGCACATTTATTCAAAATCCAGTTGAAACTATTTAGATTAATTAATTCAACAAAATTGATTAAATTGATTCAGTGATACCAACTTTTCAAAGTCTGATAGTCGTTTACACCTCCAGTGGGTCCCTGCCAGTGCCCCCTTGGTAATCCCTCTGTTCCCCACTTGGGAACCGCTGCATAATAGTATGTGAAGAAGGGGCTGAATACACAATATTTTCTATAGGTTTTATCCCCCTTATAATGAAAATGGATGCAGCTGAAAGGTCCTCCATGGATACATCAGTGTCTCAAAACAACCAAGAGTCTTTTTTAACCTTAATGGGCTAACAATTGCATGGCTTAATCTCACAGACAGCAGGGGCCATTTCATAGCATGATTTGGTATGCAGGCGGTACTTTGAGTAACCATAGAGCAGGGATAGACAATTCTTTCTGCTGAGGACAGAGCTAGAGCCAACTTTGGGCAGAGAAGCGTTGATAGACAAAAGTGTTGTAGATTACCTAGTCTGGAACAGAGAGCGCTCTGCTTCAGTTTTCACCATGGTTCCACCGGATTACAATTCCCAGTCTTAGCCAGGGTCACACCACACCATGCATTTAAAGTTTATGGCTTCCCCCATAGAATCTTGGAAACTGTAGTTTACCATATTCAAGTAGGTAGCCTTGTTGGTCTGATGCAGTTGAAATAAAAATGAAAAAATGAAAAAATTAAACAACTACATTTCTCAGGATCCTGTGGAGGAAGCCATGTGTGTTGCTTGTGCTTTGCATATATGGTTTAATGGGGTTGCTCTCAGATGAATATACAAGAGGGCCCTTTAATAAACCTGGAGGAGCAAAGGAAGGAATTATAGTGGGATGGAAGGAGGTGGCAGATTCAGGAAGCTTTGAGGGGCACATGCGTTAGGTTGGCCAACGCATGGAAGGGCTTTGTAGACCATCTTATCCAACCTCCAATACAGGAACTCCAGAGCTTGAGCAGCCCCCACAGATGGTTGTCCAGCCCCTCTTTCAAGACCTCCAGAAAGGGCAAGCCCTCTCACATCTAAGTAATTGCTTCCATTGTTGAACTGCTTTTACCATCCAGAGGTTTCTCTTACGTTTAACCAAAACCCACCGTCTTGTAACTTAAGCCCATAAGAGCTAGCCCTGCCCTTTGGAGCAGCAGAAATGCTCTATCCTCGTGGTGTTGAGTCCTGTGCAGCTGCAGAACAAGGGGTGCTCCATCGCTTCAAACAGATAAAACCTTTCATCTGTGCTGCAGAAAAGAACTGCTGGTATACAAGGCTGGCTCCATGTTGCTGACCACTACAATATGTATCTGTGCAGTGACCGTAAAAAGGGGTGTTTGGTGGCATTAGTTGCTTTTACAAGCTGGGGTACTGAGGAAAAGATGAAATTCAGTGAAGAGATGCACTGTTTAAACCAGACAGACCTAACCTTGACTCACCTTTTTGAAAGGGAGTTTCTCTTGCTCGCCATTCAGCTTTCAAACGGTGCCTTCATTTCCCTTAACCTTGCTACCAGCTTGTCTTTTTCCCAGTGTTGTTTTTTTTAAGGCACCTGATCTAGCCCTCAGGGAAACATGAGTAAAATAGCTGTGGCTTCGTTTTGGTCCTGGTTGTTGTGAACCAAAGCAATTTAAAGAGGATAGTTCAGTTGGTGTTGAGGCACTTTTGCTTGATCTGAGATGCCACCTGGAAAACATAAAGGGCAGTATTGGGATGCCATCTGCAAAAGTGTTGTTGGAGCAGTTCTTTGATAGTTACCTTCTTGGTCAGGCCTTGGGAGTCTGTGTCAGGTTTAAAAGAGTGGTGTGCATAAGTTGTAATTAATCACCTGGCAAGGAAACGATGCCTGGAAACAAAGGCCTGGAAACGATGCCTTATCAGGAACGGCTAAGGGAGCTGGGCATGTTTAGCCTGGAGAAGAGGAGGTTAAGGGGTGATATGATAGCCATGTTCAAATCTATAAAAGGATGTCACATAGAGGAGGGAGAAAGGTTGTTTTCTGCTGCTCCAGAGAAGTGGACACGGAGCAATGGATCCAAACTACAAGAAAGAAGATTCCACCTAAACATTAGGAAGAACTTCCTGACAGTAAGAGCTGTTCGACAGTGGAATTTGCTGCGAAGGAGTGTGGTGGAGTCTCCTTCTTTGGAGGTCTTTAAGCAGAGGCTTGACAACCATATGTCAGGAGTGCTCTGATGGTGTTTCCTGCTTGGCAGGGGGTTGGACTCGATGGCCCTTGTGGTCTCTTCCAACTCTATGATTCTATGATTCTATGGATCCTGTAATCACCTGAACCCGTGGCTGCTTTAAACTGGGATTGATTAGGAGACGTGAAGTTGCACTGCAGCTTTCATCTTACCGAGCTGTCATTTCACTTGGCTAGTAATTTCCAAGCCAAAAGAGAACTAATACAATGGAGTGCCACTTCGTTAGAGGCTCTGCTTGCTTAGCAACATGCCTAGGGCCCATCTCAAATTCTGCTTTGTG